GCACGCATGTCAGGCGAGTGTGCTACCGCTTGAGCCACATCCCCAGCCCTAGTTTTGTATTTTCTTTTCCCCCACTACTGGGAACAGGTCCTCAAATATGATAGGTAAATGTTCTGCTACTGAGCTCCACCCCAGCCCTGTATATGTATTTTTAACATCTTTAAGGAGACACAATTTATATACTTATTTAAAAATTTTTAAGGAATATTTAATACATCTGTAATCTTACCAGATAACACACTGATGTTTTAGTGTATGTCTTTTATTTTTGCTAGATTTTTTTGGTGATATAAGCAACTTGGCTTCAAGCAGCAAAAGACATTACTAATTATAAAATTGACTTTAAAAAAAAAACTCCTAAAACAAATACGTAAAAATTATCACAAATTTTTACCAGTGATTATTATCTTGGGGAAGACAGAAAGGGGCCAAAATTACTAAAGGGGTAGTAAAGGCCAAAGAATATTTTAGTTTTATCTTTAATGATTAAAAAAGAACAGATTCAAGGCTAGGGATGTGGCTCAATGGTAGAGTGTTTGCCTAGCATGTGCAAGGCCCTAGGTTTAGTATCTAGTACAGCAAAAACAAAACACACACACACATATTTATTTTATTACTACATTAAACATTAATAAAAAAGAAAAAATCTAAATATATATGAAGACTTGCCACATTTATAAAATAAATTTTAAAGGGAGAGATTATGGTAAATGAAAGAGAACTGACATTTAGTCTTGGCAGGGAGAATAATTTCAGGAGTCCTGTTCTGCCACTTTTTCACTTCCCCTACAATAATTTCCTGACTCATTAGTTTCAAAACCATTACTGGTTTCACATGATTGAGAAATGTTGGAATCATCACAGTCCTCAGAAATTCAATTAGCCAAACTGTTTTTTTTTWAAATTTTTTATTTCCCTCCAGAAATATGTTTCCAATTATTGACTTTCAGAGACTTAAGAGAAATACTGACTAGAGTCTAACAACTTAATTCAACAAACACATTAAACACTCATATATTTAAAAAATATTCAGGACTTACTGGGAGTTAGAGCAACAAATACTCCATAAGGAGATTAAATAATTAAGCTGCATAATTGTTTTCTTCTTTTTTTGGAAGTACAGGGGATCGAACCCAGAACTTCACGCATGCTGAGCAAGTGCTCTACCACAGCTATATTCTCATTCCTGTGTTTTTACTTTTAAAGCGCATACAATTCATCTGGGATTTGGTGGCTTGCAGTTCATTCTCATTGTGGTGGTACTGGGGACATCAGATAAAATATCAGGAATATCCAATGATTGGGACCTAGGGTATTCACTGTGCATTAATACTCAGCAGCTGTTCATACCGCAGGCAGGTGCAAAGTTTAAAACATCTCATTTCACAATTTTTCTCTTTAATAGTTCTTTTTCTAATTGAGGTGGAGTTAGAATTTCTGCAGCCAGTATTCTATATTTATAGCAGCTAGAAACAAGAAAGAGATATAAAGCATAGATAACTCAAGAAGGGAAAAATACTAAAGATGGAATGAACTTCTGTGACAAGTCTGTGCTGTCCTGGTAGTCCCATGTGATGTCTCTTCTTGAAGTCTTCTTCAAAAGCTGCCTTGGGCCACATACACTTTGCAGTCCTCTATTATGTTATAGTATAATAATAAATAATACACCTTTAAGCTACCTAGGCAGAAGCACATAATATTTTATTATATTGTTACATGGAGCTCTCTCCATGAAAGTGTTTTTAATATAACTGCCCACCTACCCAAGAAGAATAGTTGAATTAAATATCCAATTAACAAAAGGACAGAACCTCAATTCTTTATCTGTAGTTTTCATATCCAAGAACTATGGATTGTTTCTTCACAAGTTTGGTGACAAAACCTGACATGACTTAACCTGAGGCTCTTTACATTCTTTAGTCATCACCTTCAGTGGGGCTATTCATAACTCACCACAAAAGTAGGAGTGCATTTGATAATGGGGTTCTACCCTGGACTTTTTTTAGTAGCTTTGAGTGAAATATTGTATGTGGATCCTATTAGTTTTTTAAATTCTGAAAAATTTTGATTCCAAAACACAACTAACCCTAAGTTTTCAAACAAAGGATTGTATAGTAATCTCTCTCCACACTGTTAATGACAAGGTGACTGTACCAAACCTAAAGCTGGTCCCAGTAAGTACTTTTGTCCCTTAGTATGTCATGAGGATGAATTTCTAGGAAAAGAGGAAAGGCATGTTCAAATAACATATGGGCTGCATGAAAAACCGACAGCAATGACAAGAGATGCAGATGCAAGACAGTGCACGATTACCAGAAGCTATCAACCCCAGCGCTCTGCTGATTGTTGTTTCCCTAAAAACAAGACATTCCATTCTTTTGATGCTTCCTTTAGAYACAGTGCTTTAAATACAGATATTCTTAATTCTGGGGTTCTCAACCTGGCCAGATAATAAAATCTATCAGAGGGTTTTGTAAAAATACCCAATGYGGAGTAGGCTACATAAAGAGAGCAAGGACATCATTTTAAGACATTTTGATTTACTTGGTTTAAAAAAGGGCCTTGATAACAGAGTTAAAAAAAAAAAATCTCTACATGATTTTCATGTGCACCCAAAGCTTTATAAAATTTCAATTTCCAGGCTATATCCTATATCAGCTAAGTCAGAATTTGGGGGCATGGAGCTTAGACACAAGTTTTGATTTTTAAAAACACGCAGGCCAGATGCAATGGCACATACCTATAATCCCCGGAAATTGAGGCAAGAAGACTGCAAGTTAGAGGCCAGCCCCAGCAACTTATCAAGACCCTGTCTCAAAAAAAAAAAAAAAAAAAAGGCTGGGGTGTAGTGCCCCTGAGTATTGAACTCCGGTACTAAATTTTTTTTTTTTTTTTTTTTTTAAA